TACTGGTGGGATAGCCGAAAGGAAACTCGTTTTCATCAGGAGAAGAGTCGGGGAGCTCCTCTGCTCCTTGGGTTGTTTTCTCAGCCATCTGAAGCAAACTGCTGCCAAAGAGGAGGTACAAAATAGGTGCTCAAGCAAGCAGACACCACCTCACTTTGATGTGTAAGAATACATCAAGCATCAAAGCCCACAAGGCAGCTCCAATGCTGTGCAGCAGTCTGGTGATGTTTAATTGAACCTGTAGCTAAAGCGTGGCTAAATGTCACAGTGGGCTTTGACTAGGTACCAGCAGGAAATTACTGTACAGATTTAAAATTCCCCTGAAACACAACGTGAAAATGGACAGCGTATCCAAACCAAGGCTTGGGGGCTTCTTCCCACACAATTTTCTTGTAGAAAGACGAAGTGAATAGTGCCATCATCTTTCAGCTACAATTCCAGCAGTCAGGACTGAACATAAGAATTATTTCCTGTAGAGTAAATGCCCAGCAGCCCTCAATTCCCAAAAGCCAGAGTTTGTGATTACAGATGCAGAAAGTGGGCAACTGATGTGTTTACGCTGCCTTTTCCCAGATGACAGAACTAGTGGCAAAATGAAATCCCGAGTCGGGGAGCAGCCACCTTCACCAGCCAAGCTCAAGCGCTAACCAGGGCCACACATGCAAATGTGCCAGGCACTGCAGTATCAGGCTGAGCTGAGGACAGCTGCACAGTCAAATATTTTTGGAACTGCAACCAATCCTGATTCCGGTGGCCCCCACCATGCCTGGAAAGCTCAAGATGGGTTTGAGCAAAGGGACCTGGCAGTCTGATCACAGCAACGCCCGTATGAAGCTGCTTTGTCCTGTGACACTGCTGACACACAGCAGCACCAACCGTGKCGTTAGCAAAATTAGCTTTGGCTAGCAAGTGCCTGCGACAGGCAGAAGCCATAAGAAATAATTATAAAACCTCCCGCAGAAACAGGACGATGTTCTCACCGTGCTTTATGCTAGGCCTATRAAGAGATATATAGGGAAGGACTCAGGGTCTCTGTGCTCAAAGATGCTATGYAGCCCCTAGCCGCATTCCCTAGGGATTGGCAGCCAGGGATGCGACAGGGACGGTGACAATATGCAGCCAAAGCCAGGGTGGGAAGGAGCACCACGGCAGCCCATCGCACACACAGACTGACCGCTGGGAGCCCCACGTTTCGAGTCCTGCCCCACAGCCGAGTGCTGAAGCTGCCGCGGCACCGGGGGCCCTTCCGCGGGCACCGCCAGCCCTGCCGCGGCAGCGAGGGCGGAAGGGCTCTGCTGTGGAGGGCACAAGCAGCCCCGCTGCATCCGCGCCAGCACAAGCACCGCGAGCGCCAGGGCACCCAGCGCAGCCCCGCGGCCCCRGCCCTACCTGCACCCGCCGTCTCCTCCCGCCCGGGCTTCTGCAGCGGGGGCGGCTCTCGTGGCGGCYGGAGGATGCGTCGGAGCGGCGGCTCCGCGGACAGAGCGAGGCCTTCCCGGGCACGGAGCTGCCGGCAGCCCTGGGCTCAGCGCTCCACGCAGCAGCGGGGCTCGGCCGGGGAGCAAGAGCACACGGTGCCTTTGCCCGGGGAGGGCTCCRGCCAACGGGGATGCCCGGCCAGGAGCTGCGATCTGCTCTTCTCTGGGATGCTGCAATGGACCAACCCGCAGGGAGCAGCGAGTAAAACACACTAGGAAAGACCCAAGGGAACAAACTTCTTCAACAGAGGAGAAACAGGGAATCCACTTTCATGGTTAGTTCCTGAAACGGCCTGGGGTATGATTCAATATGTGACGGGGCTGCACAACACCGTGACCTGGCCCTGGAGCCCGCACAGAAACCGCTCCGCAGCCAGAGCGTGATCGTCGGGGAAATGCCCTGCACCCCTCTGCTGCCTGGGGAAAGCCGGGCCGCGGGAAGGAACAGGACACTTGAACCCTCCCCAGCCCTATGAGGATTTCTGGGGCAGCCCTCCTGAGGTCTACAAACACTTGCACATCAGAATCACRTCTGATTTCTCATCATTTGCACTTCCTCCTCCCTGCTTCTGTCTATTGTGAGCTTATTCACAGGCGAGTGCAGTATCTTCAGGACCGCACGCCAACCCGGGTAGAGCCTGCATGGAAGCTGCMATAGCCTTAATAGTTCTAATGGGTAGAAACCTCTGCTCTCCAGGCTTAGAATCAGGGTTGTTAAAAGTCACAGCAAGTTAAAAACTTACCAGGATACACCAAAGTTTCAAGAGTTTCGTGGTGGCAATTTTAAACTGTGGGAAAAGAAAGGGGTACAAGCGAACTCTATTGGAAAGATCAGTGTTACCCTGATGGGTCAYAGCTCCTGCTTCGGAATGAAGGGACACAGCATCCTACGAGGTCCACAGGTCTCCTCTCTTGCACTTAGTTCATTCCTTACCTTCTACCTTGACAGTTCTCAAAAATATAACACCTCTCTCTTAAAAGGTGCTGAATTACACAAAGAAACTAAAGATAAGTTTTTGGTACTTTCCAAACTTGAGATATTTCCTCTGGTAAATTTCCCCCCTATGAGATCAGTTAACCGAAAACAGGATGTGGCTCAGAGAGAGAGAGATTAAAATTTGAAGCTCAAGTCACATTAGGTGACTTTATTGTAGAGTCATTCCTCCAGTGCAGGACACTATATTACTATTTAAGGTGAATGATTACAGTTACATCCAAGAAAAAAAAATGTGATGGGATATTTTAAATTTGTGTCTTTTTAAAAATATCCAAGGCTCTAAGATTTTTAACGAAACACAGGCTGCTTAGYACATTTAAAAATGGAACTTAAGCTCAGAAGCTAAATGTTTTTAAAACTTTAGTTGAGGTGCAAAGAGTGTTTTCATGGCTGAGAATCTCATTTTAGAGACAGGAAAAAAAAAAGAGTCAGATGATGTCTCATCCTATGAAAGGATAATTATCAGGTAGAAAAAAAAAAAGAGTCAGATGATGTCTCATCCTATGAAAGGATAATTATCAGGTAGTACAAGTTAACTTGAAATGTTATAGAAAATCTTCAAAAAATGGTAAAAATCAAGGAAGGAAAGCTTGTTAATAAAGTAGGTCCAGTCCTCTGAAGTTGTAGTACTTCTAGGAACTGCAGCAGAGTGCTCCAAACCAAGATTCTTGCGTGATCTCAGCTCCAATACTGAGCTATTCTTTAATTCTTGTTCTATTATTTCTTTTCCAACTTATTTTACCCACAAAATAGAAGCTACAGCACAGCCATGAGATTTCATCAGCTCGTGTTCCACTATTTTAAATAAAAGCATGAAGAACTCTGAAATCTGAATTATGATTATCCTCAGCAAACTTGACATCTTTTCCACAATTTAATCTGCCATCTATGGTATAATCCTTTAAAATGTTTTTATTAGATCTGCCTGTTCTTACTACCAGTTTTTGTTCTGTTTTGTTATTTTGATGACCCAACCCAACTCATATTACAGGACACGGAAAGTTTCTAACCAACTTCCATGAGGGTTGGATTGCACCCTCAAAGAGACACCAGGAACCACTTTTTTTTCTTTTATCCCCACCCTACTTCATTATTTCCCCAGATCATATTCTCTGTAACATAACATTATTCCCAGCTTCCTTCCTCCCCACTCCCCACCTTTCCCCTTCTTATGCAAAGAATAGATGTTCTGGAGCACTGCTTCAAATTTGACAGAGAAAACTCCATCCCTAAAACAGACTCTATATACTATTTATCTTATTTCAGTCACTCACAAAAGCACTTTCTATAACAGAAGCCAAAGAATCGCCTTAAATAGAAGAGACTAGAGAAAACTGAAGCGTTTCTTTCTGTCCTCATGTCTTTGCTAGTTTCCTACAGGCAAGACTACTTGGTGGTAGGCCTGTCTCAGTCACTAAGTCTCTGTATCACGACAAATATCAGGAACAGGCACGTGAAGCTGAGATAGGACAGTTTATAACAGTCTGCCAGATTTTGCTCTGCTTTCCGTTGCAGCTTACACTGGTACTCACGGTTGTGCTGCTGTTTCTCCTAACATACACAGAGCCTGATCTAAACTGGAAAATTCCGAGTTGTTTGTTTCATTCTTACGGCTTTGCAGAGAGCTCTAGGAATGTGATCCATGCCCACTGGGAAGCCTGCCAAAACGATCTCCCAAAGCTTTGGATGTAACACGGAAAAACAAGTCAAGATTCATCATCTTTTGCAAGAAAACTSATCGCAAGATGTGGATATTCTAAGGATAATTCAGTTCCCTTGTACAGTACTATAGAAAGCTACTGGATTATTGGTAAACTCAGTGTATTCGAGCGGGACTGATTATATTAGCGGAAGCAGAGAAGCAGAGAAAAAAACAGCAGATTACACTAATCTGTCTTCATTAGTTCTCATTAATGACAAGAATTGGAAAGAACGTGAAGACTTTTGTAAATCACCAAGAATGCTAAAATAAATTATAACTTTTTACTGATAAGAGCACTTTTATCCTAAAAAAATGCTTAGAGGATGATGCAATTGCATGTGATAGAAATAGAAAAAGACTGACTACACATATACTACCTTGTATCTCTCTTCCACTAGGACCAAAATTTCCTTTTTTATTGTACAGAGGCAAATTACGTTAGCTTTATCTTTCAATATTACTTTTCAGCAATGTTCATAAAGCTGGCTGAATAACCTGCACAACACCTGTATTTTATGAGCAGGAAGACTGGAACACTGGAGATGTAAGCATTATCCAAGGTATCACAAGAGGAAAACAATACTAGACACAACCAAAATCCTCAACAAAACACGTTAAAGCAAGCAAACTCCTGAGTGTTGACAAACCAAGATTTTTTTAAAGAGGAATCTTAAGGAGAAAGAAAACATAATGGGATGTGATGGGAGTCTACAAGCACGTTGTCACGTACAAGCTCTCAGTAGGATCCTTGGACTACAGCCAGAAAAAACAAACCTTGAAACTCCACGTCGATCATCTGCATCACAGACTGGACGTTGAAATCCCAAAACAAGTGAATGGGGCACAAAGTGCTTTGGAAATGAATTCTCCCATCTGTTCAGGTTCAGCAGCAATGAGTTGGCCTGGAAGAAATCACAAGACAGGCTTCACAGCGCAGCAGTTCAGAGTTGTAGCAAGTTTTCACAAGCTAAGATTAGATTTTCCTTGTGGCAAGACATACACAAGATGAAAACTCAGCATGCAATGTTTTCCCTTATCATTAATTTTTGCTGCAAAGGCCAGGACTGGAGGGCCAGGCCTTGGGGTGAGTTTCTGGGCTGGAGTGCCCTTTGCCTGGACTTGCTCCAGAGCAGGCTCAGAAACCAGCAGTGCCAGCCGCACGCATGCGGCCAGTGAACAGAATTAGGTGACACAATAGCTTGGGTTTCTAAGAGCTTGATTTAAAATCATGCGGGTTCAGATTCCTTCTTTCAAGATATGGTGCAAATCCACTGAATCCTGTTAAATTACATCACAGATTAATTTGACCCCTTAGATTTCCACAGGATTTTTAAATTTTTTTTTGATCCTAATTCATTTYGAGATTGACTGAAATGGAAGCTTAGCTAATCCTGGCAGACTTTTTCGGTATCATATGGAAGCTGAGAAATGGTGAAGCTATTTAGCTTTGATAGGAAGCCACAAATGACACCAGGGATATCAAGAAGATTCGCCCATTAGTCTGGGTTGAGCAATTTTGCATAACCACAAGCTGGGCAAGTTTCAAAGTTTTAAGTTTTAGGATGAAAAAACTCACAGCTTCGACCATGCGCGAGAGCACTGCAAGAGAGAACATGCTCTGGCTTTTTAGTCACTGCATACCAAGAAATGCATCCCAGAAACTGGAATCTCGGCCACAAATACTTCTCTTGGCAAAGAGTATGCTCTGTACAAGGAATACACCCTGGCCCCTCAAAGAGAATCAGCCCTAGATAATTGGGGCCAGAACAGACCTAGTGACCTCCAGTTCTGCTTTATAACTGTATCTTCAGAAGCCACCTCCCGACTTGCACTGAGAGCAGCTACAAACCTTAAGATGATTGCTCAGAACGTGCATTTCTAAAAGATTCTAACAGACAAAGCACCTTCTAATACTGTAAAGACAGATGATTCCAAAATTGTGAATTTACCCTAGTGGTAGAAATTAATGTCTGCTTCAAACTAGCTGTCAGAGCCCAGAGCTGAACATTGCACTAGAATACCCTAGAACCTACACAGACCCCATAGCAATAGGCTCACATCGAAAATATTCTTTTCTAATGACATTATTATAGCATATTGCTTTTTCATAAGTAATGAAGGCAAACTGCCCAGTCAGACTCTGGCACAGGCAGATCACAGGAGCACATGGTTGGAGCAAGCCTGCAGACTGCTGCAGATTATGACCAGTCTGTCACAAACACCAGCTCGTATGTCTATTAATTTTAAATTACATTTCAGCTGGTATAAATTAGCATAGTGAAATGCAAGTCTCCTCTAGTCTGTGGATGTATGAGATGTTTACATAAACATTTTCAATTTTAAAAGAGATTTCCACATTTTTTTTTGGTAAAAATAAATAAATAAAAATACTACATTCACAGATCTAGGTATCGAGTGTAAAATGTATAGCTCCTCTAAAGTAACAGTAACAACACGGATTTGCACTATAGCTGAGGATGTGCTCCACGACCTCACAGTATAAGCTGCCGAGAACATATAATAGACGGTGGAAAGAATGCACTGTTGAGGTTACTGCTGTAAAGCCAATTTAGACAATGCAAGCCCGTGACAGGGCTCTCTGAAAGCAGCTCACAGTGTGCTAAACCCAGACGCCTAGTCTCTGTGTTTCTTTTGGAGCCCTTTTTCGGGTGGCAGTAGGGCTGCTGTCATTAAGAAAAAAATGATTTTCCATTGTAAACCCCCATTTTTGTGGTTTAATATCTCAGATGATTGGAAGTGCATGAAATGCAGCTCTTTTGTTTGCTTAACCAACAAAATAAACTGGCTTTTCAGTTGTTGAGAAGCAAACAAATAAAGGAAACAGTCTGAACCACAGCACCACAGGRATAATCTGCAGTTTACCACTTCTAGCTATGAACATGGGTAAATAAGACTATTTTATAATTGCCTACATGTAAATAATATGCACTGGAATAGAAAAGAAAGCTGAATAYATAAACCTTTCCTTGATATTTCTTTGCTATTGTTCTCTAAATTTGAATGTTCTTTTCATGACAGTTATAGTTTAATTCAGTTTGGTGTTTTCCAGGAAATCAGTTACTGTTTAAACATGCAGCCAAATTCCAAGTTCATTCAGAACTTGAAAAGCAAAATTTAACACAAGGAATGGAATTTTGTAATGACCCAGCATTTGGCAAAACYAAACTCTTAGTTCCCAGGAGAATGAAAGAGCCAAAACCAGATATTTCTCCTAATTAGAGGTGAAAACATTATTAAATATCTTAAAAATTGAAAGCATATGTAACTCCTATAAGGTGGTTTCTTACTGGAAAATAACTGAAGTCCACGCCAAATTTCAGTGTGTTCTGATGTAAGAATTCAGCAGGAGATTAAGAACACATTTTGCTAGGAGACATACATAAACATTAACATTTACACAGACTGAAAATAAGCCTCTGTAGGTACAGTCAAGTGAGACAACTCATGATGCATAAACAACAAAGTGGCAATCCTCAAAAAAGAATGATTTTTTAAACTACAAAGTAATATTCGGTTAAATCAAAAAATGAGTTTCCTTAGTCTGTGTTTACTCATCTCTTCATTTCTACACGCACAGTATAAACTAATATTTTGGCAGGGAGGTAAAAAATGATAGTTTGAGACTACTTATGAGAAGAAATTTCTGAATTTGTGAAGTATCTTCCTCAGGATTAGATTCTAGGGTTTATATTCCTTTACCCAAAGCAAGGTCCCAGCCACAGACTCTGAAGACAGGCTGTGCCAATTTTGACCATTTTTGTAATACAAAGATAGAAAAGTGCATGCTTTAACTTTTTCAGATGACTTCAGATTCTACCATCGTAACTAAACAAACAAACCAACCAAAGTAGTAAGTTGCACTTGCATTACACTGTCTTTAATACACTACGCTGTCTCTAATCTTCTCTTTTCAGCTGCTGTTCAGTATGATATGTTTTAAAGTCATCCAAAAAGAGAGTCATTTAAAGACACTGAGGTATTAAAAAGCAAGACCATTAATCTGCCACAGGTTAACTGTTCTTCTTCTGAAACTATCAGATATTCCAAATTCAAAAAAAAATTAAAAAAAAATTTAAAAAGGATTTTTTTTGCACTAGTTTGCTAAAGGTACCTAAAGCTCATGGCATATCCAGAAAGATTATATACACAAATCATTTCTGCACTGCTAGAAAAGCAAAGGCCAGGGAGTGGCAGAATGTCTGGCTTCTCTTCCTGAATTAGTCACAGCGCTTCGAAGCAGCGCAGCAACTTTCATGACTAGATCATAAAAGTGGGAGTTTAATGCATCGCTGTGCATGATATGCTAGAACCTGGCAAAAGCAGCTTCCTAGGTTGGATCAATCAGATGAATTTCTGGTCGCACCAAATGGAGAGGCAAATCGGTTCATTTTGTGACATCTAGCTATCAAAAAAAATAGTAAAATATAAATGAAAACTTATGAAGATATGTGAAAAAAAAAAAACTAAGGTTTACATGTTATTAACCTTCACATTTAGTTGGTTCAGGAATTCAACCAGTCCCGGTCTTACATATCTGCCAGGAGAATTCAGGGAGAATCAAGTTAGAATGCAACTGGTGAAGTTTCTTAGTCAGAAGCTGATTTGGGAAATACAGGGGAAAAAAAGGATTACAAATATAAAGGCCAAGCTCTTTTCATTTACTTCAGTGGGCCTTACATTCAGAGATGATCTGCACACATCCCTACAAGCAACTGCGAGGTTACCTTTGGAGACTAGCTTGACTATAATGTGCTATTAYGGCAATAAATGAGTTTCAGAAAAATCCTGTTTACACATGGCCCTTGGCTTCTTGCCAGAATCTACAGGCTCAAGGCCAGTCCTCTCTATTCTGGGGAAGCGAGAATAAATTTTGACTGAAGCATACCGCTCCCCGGGCCAGTGCATTAATATGTAAGCAGAGCAGTAATCTCACATACAGAGGCAGGCCCTTGGGTAGAATACAAAAGGGCAGCAGTTAAACTTCCACTTCTTTGGAACTACTAAGGCTACTGTGGTTCAAAGCCGGGAACATTTGGAGACCTCTATATAAATAACCAAGGAACAGAAAAACACCATGTACAACTCAGATATAAAAGAGGCTTTCTGATGTCCAGAGTCCTATGAAGTACATAAACACAGAATGTGTTTTGAAATAATTTCCACTTCATAATACCTATGAGTCATGGACACAGTGATTTTTCGAAGAACTTCATTTTCTGTGGGCTCTGTCCAGTGAATTGCTGAGCTCCTCCCAGCTCACTGACTGCAGGTCACTGAGGTTAGTGGGACAGTAGATTCTCAACTCAGTCCCATCCTGTTCAGCTCTGTTGCCCTCTCTTACTAGAAACTATAGAAATCTGCCAGCATAATTTTCATGGATCAGGAAAGGAGTGAATGGATGAAGACATGGGCATATCTTTCCCATATGTGGCTTTGAAAGGAAACTCATGCTATGCCACATTTGGAAGGTAAATCTTTCTACATTTGTGCACAAATGTACACACACCCCTCCGCTCCACACTTCTAAGTCTTCTAAGTATACATAAAATACCTAACTACTTAATAGAATTCTGGACAGAAACAGAGCAAGTACAGAACAAACATTACATATAAATATGTTGCACTTCAGTGTCAAATTGTGATTACTAATTAAAAAAATATATATTTGAATTCAGTTCACTGATCTTCAGGAGCAACATAGGCTCTTCGTAGCCTGTCTTATCAAAATTCAATTAGACTTACATTTCAGAAGTCASAGGTGAAAATGGGATGTGCTCCTATGTCACTTAAAATTTTTAAAGTGCAATTTCCATTTCAAAAATCACGTATCTGAATAARCTAACAGGAACTCACATAACTCCAAGACTGTATCTGTCATTATCACTTTATCTATTTTAGGGTGGCTTGATAAAGTCAACATTCTTTATGCATGTTTTTCATTTTTCCATGAGCGATTACTAGGATACACTTATAAAGCGCTGCAATTTACCTCACCACTCCTAAAGTCCATCTTAGCTTCTCCATATAAGAACACCACAAATTCTTAACCGATATCTTAGTAGTGTGATCTATGGCTATAATGACATTTGAACATAATTTGATCTTTTTCATAGAATTACATCACTGCACTTCAAAGAAATCCTCAGGCTCYATGTTGGCAGAGATGGCTGAGTCAGTGTGTCCGAGTTCACAAACAGCAGATGTGCTTACGAGAACGTGTATCGCTGAGTAGAAATTACATCTTGCAACGCACAGTAACTCTCACATAAAATTATTAAATAGTTCAGAAGAAAGAAAGAAATATTTATAGTTAAATTGTCTACACAACCTCCCCCAGCATTTCAGTTTGCTTCTCACTGCTACTTAAGATTCTATGTAGTCATTATCAGATACAGTGTTATCTTCTTGTGCTGCTTTGAAAAGTTTGGAGATTTAAAAGGAAAATTACTCACAGGGCCAAAATTAAAAATTGCATCATCTGCAACTATCTTCTTTCCACAAATTAAACACTCTGGATGAATGATATTCCTAAGAGAGAAGGAAAACAGTCATTTTAAAGCTCTTGGATGCACTGRTCTCGGGCAGCTAGTCAATAAAAATAAAAACGTGTGCAACTTTGTACTTTGGACCAAACTCTCTTCTCAGTTTTACTGAGAACTGAGCAGATTTGTGCCAGCAGCTGGGAAAGGGAAATTTGGCCCTTCATCTGCCACTTTCCTGGAGGCAAGGCAAAGTTTTTAACTGTTGAATTCAGTCATCAAGTGCCAAAGTAACACTCATTATAAAACTACCCAAGTTACAGTAGGCATGTAGTCTACTAGGTCTTAAAATACAAGTAAGGAGTGGCAGCATATGTGTAACTTTTTTTTAAACAGGCAAATCAAAGAACAAAAATAGCATCAGTTAGTGCAATGTAAAAGCAATGGAATATTTGTAGGAATAAAAAAAATACAAGAAGGAAAACCTGAGGAATAAAATCCTTGCTTTCACAGACAGCACATAAAYTAGCTGCATTTACCTACAAAACTCTGAACATCACACCTTGGCACAGCCCAGTTTTGTCTCTGAGGACAGCACCCAATCAATACTGAGAGCATCTAGTATCACTCTTCGGTATCACGAGATTACCTCAACAACCAGGCAACACAGGCTGTGCAGTAACCGTGCCCTCAAGGCACCTGTGCTGGATGCTGCAGAAGCATTTTACAGAAGGGACAAATGTATATGGAGGAAGCATTATCCATATGCTGTTCCTAAGCTTCCTCAGAGGCGTGTGAGCTGCTCATGGCTSCTCAAGCAATGCTTGACACCAGATCTCCCAAACACAGAGATAATCCTGAAAAAAAAAGCAGAAAAGGAATACCTCAGCATGGGGGGCAGTTCATTTAGCACTGAAAATGTACCAGCATAAATYGCCAGTTAATAAACATGCACTAATAGCACACTCATGTCCAACTCCAAAGTTGGAGGACTGCTGAAACGGCCCAAACTAATGTGAGCAAGGCTGGAAAATGACAAGGACTCCTTCACTCCCAAACCGTGCAAATCCAAGTTGTGAAAACAAGACCATATTAAAGGAGAAGAAAAATCAGAGATCGACTTTCTCTAATAAGCRTTATTTCATATATTATCCCCTAAAATACAGTTTCAGGGCAGCTGCCTTGGAATTCTGGTTCTGTGCAAATCCCCCATTATTAAAGGTTTACAGGAAAAGAGAGATTTCGAGATAGAAAACGTTGAGTGAAACAGTAGTAAAAGGGAAATGACAGCATCACAAACCAAAAGTTGCTATGACGTAGCTCTTCTGGATTTAGAAACGAGTAGTCCCTCTCCAGCTCTATGATGTTGTTTCATTGTTATTAATTTCCCCAACCTCTGCTCCCATATCTCCAAGGCAATATTCGCSAGGTGCTTAGGAAGAGGGTAATTACACTATCCTTAAAGCAAGTCCTCCTTAAAGGAGGAGCACTCCGGTGCTCCTAAAGCTGGGCTGATGAGAGCAGCCGCTGCCTCCTACGCCTGCCCCTGTGCAGGGCGCAGACACGCGCACCGCTTTGTCACCCAGTGCTCGCTGTGGTGTCATCTCTGGTCAACCTATACGTTGCCAGGAAATTCAGTGTTTAGCAGGGGGTTCCTGTCTTATAGGAGAATTTTATTGACTAAAATGGAAATCTGGGTAGGATGGAGAAAAAAAAATACCAGCAGAAGTGAAATTAAAATTGGAACACAACACATCACAGTACTTTTTTATTATTAATTAGAAAATAGAACATGGTCAGCAGCTGAACCTTGAGAAACACCCTTGAAAAATTTTTGTTTAAAATACTAATTCTTACTTTAACAAGACCTATGAGAAAAGGATGTTCTTGTGCTCCCTCTGCTGTTTCTATCACAGTGCTAAAATAGCAATCTAGGAGGCTCTGAAGAACTATGTATATTCCTTTATATTCTGTGAGCAATACTGATATCTAAACAAAAAAGTGGTCATTTCTGCTAAGAAGAGGATCAATCAAAAGCAAGAAATGTGTTTTAAAGCTTAAGAGCAAACAGCACCATCTTTATGGAATGGAAACTTTTACACAAAATTTAATGTCACAGAATATTTGGGCATTCTTTAGATTAGCATCAAGTCCATTCTACTAAGATTATGAAGAAAACATGATAGTACACGAGTTCTGGATATTGTTGTGATTTAAGATATATTATTCTTATTTATTTTGCAATTATTACAATTATTTTCAATTAGACTACAGCACTAACAACTCAAACATGGTATTTTTTAAACATGAGCTGTAAGAAACATATTACTAGTTTAAGTTATTCAATAAACAATTTAATTTTTTTTCCCCCTCAAAGAGTTCTGTTTTTATAATACATAGGATTTCAATATTTTTAAGTGTTACTCTGGCACAATACATTACTGCCCATGTTCGTTTTTACAGTCATTTAATTTCAAATCATCTGAATTCAAATATCTTAGCAGTGTTCTGCATTATTCTCCCATGCAAGCTTAAAAAAAATCATAATTTGAACACTTTTATAAAAAAGTGACTAAAAATACAAGAAAAGAACATTTTCCAAGATGAGCCACACATAATTGTAAAATTCTACAAGGAATTAGCAAAGAGCTGACTTCCCCCACCAAATGAGATTAGATCTATACTTCTTATTTTAAAAAAAATCCTTAAGTAAATCAACAGCCATTGATGATGAGATCTTCAGCAAAACCTTCCATTGTATTTAAAAACTCCTGACAAGWTGTACAGACTATATCTGAAGGCCACCATTCAATCCAAGTGCTGGAGTCCAAAGGGTACTGGAATCTAAAAAGACAACAGAAAACACTCACTTGCTTATAAGATATAGGGAGGAAAATATCAAAGAAAAATTACAGTAGAAAATAGATTTGAGTTTATCATCCYGTTTTAAGCTTATGTAGCTGAAAGCTCACATTGGATAACATATCCTGGTTGAACTAAAAGAATTAATCTGTTGTATAACATATCAGAATTAGCACTTCAAGATTAGGATTAAAACTCAACATATGCTGATGATGGTCTGCTTACTTGAAATTATAACCAATGTTTATCTTTAAGGCTTCTTTTCCCATGATCAAATACTGCATTCCAGGGCTCAGCTCAACATCAGCACATGTCTTCTTTTTAACAAATGTTATTTCATTATTTTTTTGAGCAAAAGCCATTCCTGTAGTAGAATAAAGTCAAACATCAAAAATCAGAAAATTCTGCAAAGAAAATTTCCAGTTACTCATATGTATTATATAGAAAAATAATGTTCAACAGTAGAGTGAAGTGTTCCATTTGCTATAGATAAATAACAGGAAAACTTGATAAGATGAAACATATGCTCCCACCAGTCTGAAATTGGCATTCAAGAATTTTTGAATGAAATCTGAATAGCAAATAAGCCTAATACACACAAAGTTACTGTAAGGCCATATACAGCGATCATCTTCAGAGGAGAAATGGGCGAATACCACCTGCGGTTCCACATGGCCTGTAAGAAGCTCCTTTTCTCACAGATAAGATATTGAGTGCTCAGGAACATACAAGAATCTAAGAAGAGCCAAGGCAAGTCATAGCCTTGCATCTCTCCCACTTCAATCACAGTGCATACATTAAGGAAGGACCTTTCAGGAATGAACGGGATAGATTTAACGATTTTTTTTATGGAATGTGTTCACCTTGTTTACAATAGCTATCATGTAGAAAAGCTGTTAACAAATACACTAAGATTGCCTTGTTTAAACTACTTCCCAAAGGAATTCTCAAATGCACTAATGCATGCAATGCATGAAATGATCAGGTTTGACTGTTTTTTTGTCAGTTGTTTCAATGTTCTCAAGCAGATAGTTCTTGCTCTAAATGAAGTAATTACATGCATTAAAATTAGGACACTGACCTCTTTTATATATATCTAGAACAGTTGCAGAATACTTAACAAAAGAACCTTCTTCAGTGCGAGATAAGATGTCCACTTTATAAACTGCAAAATAATAGAAAGCAAACTTTTTAAAAAATACTTTTCTCTGCAATACATTTAACTACAGATGCCTGGGTGGAAAATACTGTGTCCTTTTCCATGACTAATTGCTGGGAAAACTATGGTCACAGCTATACAAATTATGGTAAGAAATGTTAACAAGTTCTGCCCATGCTCTAATTGGTTTGTACACAGCWTTCKGTGATCCYAAAGCCACATGATCGTGTTAGAACRGTGCTGARTAAGAACCACACCATTTATTAGCAGAACTCCAGCTCAGGYTTGGTGGTACACTGACCCTGGTTAGGTGACTTCTGTTCAAAGAGCACTGGGAGCACTTACGTTCCTCTACTCCARTGTCACCTTCATACACTTCATGTCACTCTCAAGGCCAAACCATTTTTATCCCTACAAGCACTACAAGTATAATTGGAGCAAAATGTTTTACAGCAGAAAAAMCAGCATTTTAGTGCCAAAATAAGAAACATGAATGTCAATTCAAATATTACCATACGCAATGTCATTCTGACATGCAGCTTCTCGCCGTGTATCAGCAGTTATCGACTCATCTAGTCTCTCTTGCATCTGACTACACTCCGCTACATTGAGAGAGAAGAGAGTATTAAGATACTGTCATCATATGTCCTCATGTAAAACATCATTCACCTCTATTTGCCTGGAGTAATCTGCTYGAGAAAACACAGGAATTATGGAATTGCATGCTGGAAGAACAGATCTTTAAAAATCAAAAAAATAACCCTTAGTTGCCTGAAGTTAAATCTAGTCAGACATGCATAGGTAAACCGCATACATCTTTCCTTAAATTTTAAAATGTAAGGATTTTTTTTTTTCTGTATTTAAATAGGACAACAGGTATGTTCTTAYGAGGATTAGTCCTTGTGATTAAAATGCCTTTTTTTTTTTTTCCTCCCCCAAAGCATTAAAGTGCCTTTTCCTACCAAATGGAATGGGAAAACATCTTAAAAAGAAAGTTTACCTTCCATGCATTTACATTCATTTCCTTCACATAATCTCACAAGTTTTTCATCTCCATATGGGTTGTATAACATAGTGCACTGTTTATCTAGAAGACCAAATAACAAATATCAAATTTCTGTTAAACCAAGCACATTTCTAGAAAATAGCACTAAAACTAGTAAATCAGAAGTTCCTTTAGAATAAAATATTACGGATTAAAATGCTGCGGAAAAAGGAGCAATGGAACTTTTTATTAGGAAGGAAGGCTTAGAAATAATCATGACTTTAAATATCTGGTACACATACCCGGTGCATGATATTCATAGACAGTGAATGTGGCAGGATTTATCATTCCAACATGGAAAAGCTCACTTATTCTGAATTCAACACAGAGGAAATTATTAGCTGGCACCTATTGAACAGATACATGAATGAAGGAGCCCAAAAGGAAGTATGGTCATTCCAAAGAYGTCTAGTAATGCTTAGAGTTATGGAAAGGATAACATACAGAGTCTATCTGCAGAACAACATGCCCATCTTTAACCTCATAATCTGCTATCAGTTGATCAACTCCACTTGCAAGCTGTAGGGAAAAAAAGACAGAAAAACACGTTTACACCACAGATRAAGATTTTTGGTGTATCTTTCAGGTTTTGTAATCAGTAGTTTTAACAAGATTGAGATTAATATATATATATATTTATTTTAGGTTTGCCTCTTTCTAATGTTAATACCCAGTTCTTCTTTTTAAAGGGAATTTTCCTTTTATTCATTGCATGATGATAATAAAGAATCAAAAAGCTGATTGCGATTTACACAATCATTAGTTAGGTGCATCAACTAACAGTGTCCCCCCTAACATTATCAGATCACAGTAGCTGATCCACTCTATCCTTCCACAGGAGGCAACCACGTTCTAGTTGTTTTTCACTCTCCACTCACTGCAGAGGGAGGCTAGAGGACAAGCTTTAACAACACATCTGGCTTCTGATCAGCTAAAACAGCACCATCTCATTCCTATCCAAATCCCAACATCTAGAATTAGGCAGACTATTCTCATTAGTATGAGAAGCGTTTAGGAGCAATGAAAATATAACAAGATCAATTTGCAATGTTACTTTAAGAAAAAAAAAGAGGAAGAACAAGAAATACAGTAGTCTTACAGTAGACAGGTCTTCTGTATTGGCATCCAGTCCACTAACTAAACCTATATCCATCACAGCATGTGCAGACCCTGACTGTGGCTCTCTCGCACTGGGCTTGTACCTAAAATAAATTAAAAGCAAAAAGAATTATATATAACTGTACTTTAAAAGCAGTTAAACAGACCCAAAATTTAAAAGAAATCTCCCAAACATAATCCCAGAAAACCTTGAGGAAAATTTTACAAATATCTAGAGGCCTGTAAGTCCATAATTAAAAATTTCAGATGCATTATTTCAGATTTATAACATTCTAAAGCATAAAGGAAGTAATGTCAATATTTATGTTTCAGAAGTATCCAGGCATAAATCAAAAATGCTCTCCCTCAAAGTCATGACCTTTGGTCCTACTTTTATTCATACATGTGTGGAAAAGGGAAAAGAAATAAGAGTAAATGCAATTAACAAATGAGATATGGCAACTAAAAACATTTTGATCTCTTAAAAACTAAAGAAATCCATTACAAAAGTGCCAGTTAATATTGGGACAATAAATAAAAATCAGAAGACTAGAAAGCATCTGTAATATTCTTACAGTAATCTCACTATGCACACATAGGGCATTACTGCATTCCACTCTCTGCACTCTAATTCCTTAATAGGTCAACTGGGAATTTCACCTTTGTATGGAGAAACATTGAATGTCATGGTTAGGAAAACCAGGACACTTAGAACTAGCATCTGATGTAAATGAAACCTTCACATGCAAAAATATAGGCTCAGTCACTAGAAGAAAAAAAAAAACAGAAGAGTACAAAAAAACTGTACTTACTTTGCACAAGCCTCTAAGCGCCCAAGGGGCTCACTGGCTTCTCTTCTGTAACCTTTTCACAGCAAGGAAAACCAAATAAGTAATTTTATAACTCTTCAGAAGTAGCAACCCAAAATTCTGATAAAGCATTGTCAGTATTGAAAGTTTGCACAGGAACTCATTATGTAGCCACAAACAAGCAGCACAGTTCTTGTACAATTCAGGTGAACTATCAGTTTTAATGCTTAATGTGCTTTATATTGGTATTATTGAAGCCTCTTCATGGAAAACATGCATTATGTGCCTCTTTATTTAGACTAGAACCCACAGTAGCTTGCAGAAATCACCCCAACCAGGGTCCCTCTCCCATGCCATAATGCTCCTTTTTTTTTTCCTGTGAGCTTTTCGTTCTACTTCCCAATTTAAAAGATTCTTCAAAAAATCCTGAACTGACACAAATACATTAGAAAGTAATTCTCTTCAGAAAAAGAGTCTCAAGGACTAAGAACATCTTTTAGCAATTGATTTCCCAAATTTCTGTTTAGAAAGGGAAAGAATTTTTACTTTATTCTTAATAAAAAATACTTTGTTAAACAAAGCGATTCTTTTTTCCCCCCRACCTTAGTAATAGTATTTAAAGTCATTTTTATCTTTACCATTATCACTTTTTGGAACAATCTTCAGTTCAAAATTACATGTTTCTTCCGAAGTACCAATTATATTATACACTGTCCTCACCTATATACATGCAAATAAAAACAGACAAAATAAAAACACTCAATGTATAATCCTCAAGACCGGCTTAAAAATTAACATTGAGAATATGGAATTAGGAAAATATTACAGAAGAGAAAACAAGTCTGTACAGCTGGATTATTTTAATTGGCACAAAGCCCAACAAATGATCGGCACAGAAACAAATGCAGAATTCTTAAGGAAAAGCCCACCAGTCCTRCTGATTACATTAAAAAGACTGAAAACATTACCTAAAAGGATTCTTATGAGCAGAAATACTACTACATACACAGAAAAAAAGAGTTTTAGATGTTAAGTTCAATGCTAGAAGAAGCTATGAAAGATTAGAAAAAAATACCACGGTAACAGACACACTGTAATTGTTTCCTTGAATAGTGTCAGTGAACAATGGTTTAATGACACTGATGAAYAAGCAAAACAAACAGTAGAAAAATAGAATTAAGCATTTTTTTTTCAAATTGGTCATTGACTGGGGATTTCCCTGTTTGGCTGCCTATGCAGAGGTACTCAATATTGGTGAGCAATCTTTAAAACCTCCTAATTCAGTCTAAAGGTAARGGCATCAAAAGGAATGGCTTATGAGAAATTCCAGTTTCTTTTTCAAAGTCCATATTAACAAAATGCAGTCTTCATTTAAAAAAAAAAGGCACACTTACATTTACTGTAGCTAAGCCAGTGCTACTGCCAGTGCTTACATATATGTCATCATCCAAAGGTGCCTAAAGGAATAATGTTATACAGAAATAGTTAAGTTAATAATAAAGGTAGAACTATCAGCAACAATAATTCAAGTCAGATGATCTGCATTTTTTTTCCTCTGTTTCCCCATTTTTAATACAAATTAATGTCTCATACTATAAATAGCTTCTACAAAACAAYGTATTAAGATTAGTAGAATGGGATTTTTAAAGAACAAAGTCCTCAAATGTCTGCTCTACCAAATCAATCCCCATATACTAAAACAAAAGAGCAGGCTTAGCAGTTTCTCTTGCTTTACCAAGAGAATTTATTCACTCACTGTCACAGTTTTTCCCACGAAATTGTCTTCTGTCAGTTTAATCACGTTGAGATCTCCATTGTTTTTGTATGCAATCTTAACGTTCATGTCCAAACTAAGTCGTTTGACAAGCAGCGAATATTCAGTCAAGGCCTCAAGTGCATTAATTGTATCCTGTCAGAAATCAGTCATAAAGAATTAGTTTTGGGAATTAAAAATAAAAACTTATTTTCTACCACTTAACCAGGAGTACACACAGCAATAATCATCACTATCTAAGTAGCTGAGTAGCTTCTCAGTTGTAAGATAATACCTGTATTTAACACTCTCCGCTTAGACATACTTGGACAATTTTAAAATACGTAAACTACTAAAAAAGTAAGCAAAATTAATAAAGTATTTGTCATTTACTCTTTAATAATTTCTTTTTATAGTTAAAGAAAGAGAGATTGTATGAATTARTATTTTATATAGTACAACTGAAATCAGTGCTTTTCCCACAGAAAGTCATGTTAACAGATTCASCTGGTTCCAGTCCTATATGTAGGACACCTAAGTTATCCATCTGGTCATCTAAAAGTATTTTAATAATTCAAATAGCTCCTTTAAGCCTTGTCAGAATCTGATACTTGAAGAATAGGAACAGAATTCCTAAATCTTACCTGAGTTGAATAGAATCCTCCGCCGTACCTTTGTTCTTCAGACAACCATTTGATAATGGGATTGGCGTAGTTCTTGTCCCCTCTCAGCAGAGCAGTAAGGGCAGCATACGCAGTAGTTTCAACCATTTGGGCAGTAACTGCGTGCGGAGTGTCGCGGTCTAATGCTTTGAAAGTATCTTTCCAAAACCGATAAATCGGTGGGTCCCCTACAAAAATATAAAAGAAGGGTTTTATATTGAAAGACAGCAACAACTGCTCATCAGGCTAAACAGGATGGACCAAGGGTCTACACATGTCAAAGAGAAAGGAGGAACGATTTTCTGCTTTTATTAGGAGATGAAGATGTGCTGTGAACAGCACATCTCACAGAACACTGTGAGGTTCCTGCTAATGACAAAAAGCACTAAAAAGSAAGAGCATTCACAAGAAGCTATGAAGATATTCACGAACCTGTGAGAAATCAGTATGTCTGTGGTACTATTTGGCTGCAAACCCCTTAGATTGGGTTAACTTTTAGAGAGCAAACTAAACATTTTCCTGAAAAAAACAGACCGATATCATCACTCTGAAATCAGACATCCTGGTGCTGAAGATGACCTGTTTTTAAAATGCTCTAGCTTGCCTTCTCCATTTCAAGAAAAACATCCCTTCTATCATGTGTATAAAAATGGTTAAAATATTTCAGTCACATTATTAACCTAAAGAAATTATATAGCTATATTAATATTCTTAAGTAATAAAAACCAAATAAYTTTAAGATAGATTAAGTTGTACCTATGACAAATGCTTCCTTCTTCAGTGCAGAGAACGCTGCCTGTGCCGAGTGATGGCTCAAGTCCACAAGAGCTAAAGCGTACGCACTTATTGCCATTGTAAAGGGGCTCTCGGCAGATTGCACATTTTTCAACAAATAATCTCCTGCTCTGTTTCTAGCATCATGGATTCTCTGAGAAGATGAACAATCTACAGTTTATACGTTAGATTTATTTAAAGAAATACCTCTATGAAGACAAAATACACACACTCAGTATCTTCTACAATAAATGCTAGAATAAAGTACACCAGAATTTTCCTACTGTTCTTCTATTTATTTTGAAAGTCAAAGACTAGTAAAGCAAATAAATCTTACCATCTGACAATGAAAAAAGCCTCTTGAATCTCTGATCTAATATTAATTAGAACCAGAAAAGAAAAAACAGAATCCAAGAGCACGACCCTCAGCAGAAATAAATTATTTACCTGAGTAGGACATATTTTAATTGTCTTCTCAATTCCAATAAGAGAAAATGCTGTGAGATATAAAGATTTTTCTTTRGCTTCTGTAGGTAATGTACCCTACAAAACCAAATACATATAAGTAATTAAATAGAAAAAACAGTTCTCAAAAACAACTTTTTACAGGTTAAATGAATAAAGGAACACACATTTCTTTGGCAAGTGTCAAAYGTGACAGGAAAAAAAAATATAGATAGATATATTGTATATACACATTAACCAACACATTTTCCCTAAGTTCTCAGAAACAGCAAGTAGCTACTTGTACTGGGAAAACAGAAGTATGTAAGAATGTGCTGGATTTCACTTAATTTACAGGACATTAGCAAATTATTTTGCCTAGATGATCTGCTCAAATGAAATTGAAAATATCTTACATTCCTGAAACACAACACGTTTGTTTTAGCTTTTTGTGTAGACACAAAATAAAAATAAATTCATTTTCATACCTGTAGTTTCACTGGTTGRTAACTTGAAAATTCATTGAATGACCCATCTGGCATTTGACAGTTATCAATCAGCCACAGAAGCGAATTACAAACAGAAATGTAATCAAGACTTATATATTGATTAATTTGTCCCAAAATCCTTAAAGCAAAAGCTGTCAACCTGGCAAGGAAATCAAGCAGAATACAGTTGTTTTGATTAGTAGATTGTTTTTTAACCTTACCTGTTCTATATAAAACATATACATATATATATATATATATATATATATATAACTCAGTGCGTCCCTATTTGATATTTCCTAGTTCTAAGTATTGTATTTGTGTGCATAAGGGCTATCACCTTTATCTGCTGCTTACATCCCTACTCTTTGCTTTCATTCATCAGAAGCAGGGTGTTACCTTTGCCCAGGCTTCTGACTTCTGCAGRGAATCTGGGCCTACAGAGTTGCTTTGTACAATTCCAAGACAGGAGAAGGAGTTTCAGAATCATGAGGATTTTGCTCAGTTATGTCAATTTTGTCTGATTGAACACACTAAACTATCTTGTTTGTAATTGAGTCTGTAWTTTCACTTGCCAATCATTGATTTTTTTTCCACACAAAAGATGTTATTTAAGTATCTAGGCACTATTTATATGTCAGGTCCACCTGTCCTACTTACTATGAAGTATCATCTTTTAGAAGTCAGATATAACAGAAAAGCAAAGAATTAAATCAAGATTCTTCAATCCATTTTTTCTGAAGAAAAGATCTCTAACTCACCATGTGCTAGCTTGTCTATTCTTCCACATGCTAAATGAGAAGTCAGATTTTCTGAATGACAAGATGCTTACAATYCCTAAGGAAGACATTAGGCAGATTTAGTGGTTACGGGAAAATATGTATTTATATTTTTTAATATATTTTATATATATAAATAAAATGACATTTGTTCACTCAGCTATACTATCTTAATCAAAGAATATGCATCTCTACAACTCTAAAATAAGAGAAGACTCATTTTTATACCTTCCTTCATCTTTCTTCTCATTTCAGTTCTTGAAGATAAGGTTTTAGGACCCAGCAAATGCCAATTATTTGATTGTTCCAGGTAGTGAAAAACATAAAATACCGGGACAATACTCATAAGCTCTGCCTCTGCGCTGCCCTTCGGTAGGTTAGTAAGAGCACTGATACCATCAGGACTGAGGACTGTGGCAATCACTTCACCCATAAGATGCCCTGYGGAAAGAAAAAAACAAAACAAAATATAAAACTGATTTTAAGTGGTGACCCAAAGTGAATTGTAGGGCAGAATCAGGCTCATATTAGAGAACAGAGATTTCATATTAGTTATTTAAACTTCTGAAGTCATGTCTACATCTTTTCCACAAAAGGAGAACCTAGAAATAAATTCATACCAATTTTAAAAAAAGAAGTAATAAGAAATAGGAGCAAAAGAGGTATAGCAAAAGTAAATACGCAGAAAGCTAAAATTTTTGATTCAATTTACCTTTTACGCTGACACTTCTATCAATTTTTGTTTTAGGCACCAGATTTAATGGAATTTTATAGCGAAATTCTTGTCGTCTCTTGATTAAACCTGCAATAGAAAATACAGGTACAGCATACAGCAGGATCTATTAATCAATTGAGGATTCAGATGCAATTGCAAGACTTAAAGATCACAACCGAGTAACAGAAATATGCCCTAATGCACATGTAAGTTATATCAACTGTTAAACAAACAAAAGAACAGTTTCCAACACTTAATCTTTCTTTGTCGTTGTTGCTAAGAGAATATATGATTTTGACATAGTTTATTATTAGAGGCAAGTATGTAAATGAAAACAAATYTTATTTAAAAATGACTTGCTAATTGGTATTAAGGCTCACTAAGAAAGCTAGATCTTCATACCATATTAAAAGATAAAGGAAATTTTGTATATATCTTTTAATATGGTATGAACTGAATCAAACTATTCTTCAAAGACTAGCTATTTTGAGACGGATTTGTTAGTGTATTAAAGGACAAGAAAACCACAGAAAGGACACAGAAAAGGATTTATGTCAGGAAGGAGAATTGCTGCTTTTTGTTATTACTCAAAATTTGATTGTCATAACTGCATGAAAGAAGATAATAAAAATATAAACAAAGACAGATGAGGATACACATATAATTAATTCTCATACCATAAACACCATTTGGGTCCAAAGTAAAACCTGCATGAAGTTCTCTCTTAATGCCTTCTGGCTAAAATTAAGAAAGAGGAAATAAGCAGAAAATGCAAATACTTTTGCTTAATCAAACACATCGAGCTGAACACGAACAGTTTATAACTATAGTATCTTAGCCTTCATGCTTTTCTATGAATTTGTTTTATTCTTCAACAAAATTTAACATAAGATACAAATAAAAGCTTAGGAAAATATTAAGTTACAAAAATAAAAAAAAAAGTAAAATTAAAAATATATTTCCATGACGTAAGTTGATTTCATGTGATATGATGTTTGATTACATGATCTTTCATGTAATGATTTCATGCGATATCTGGGAACTAGACAATATTAAGACATAGCAATAGTATATTTGATTTCATATACTTCTTTTGAATGAATCAAAATGAAACTCAAAAATATTTAATATTTTTTCTTCCCTTACCATTACACGTAAGGTTTTCACTAAAGTTTCACTATGCTGGCCAGCCAGCAGTGTGAAGTTGATGGTATGAAGACCTAATTCCAAAGGAAGTATTTTGAATTTAATTGGTAACAATGAACCCCCATTTAGATACTTGAAGTCACAACCACGTGTCCCCATTCCAGTAGTTGCAGCATCTCCAAAAGAACAGATTCCATCGTCAGCTGCTATTTTAACACAGAACTGAAATAGAGAGATTAAAAATGTTCACTTTTGACATGAACAGCAGCAAAGAAATATTAAATCAACTATTACAGGGAACATTCCATTACTGTAATCCTATTTCTGTTTGCAATGGGCAAGTGTTACTAACTTTGGAATTACTATTACTTGCACTAGAGACACTTTAAGAAATGGCCACTATCAAGAAGCCACTCTAATTGTCAAACACCTTTGCATGTTTTCTGCATATTTTTGAAAAGTTTCTAAAGTACCTTTTTTTTTTTTTTTTTTTTAATGTATTTCTTTAGGAAAGCTGCTTTCCTATTAAATCCATAGACAATCTACTAGTTCTGGAGCAAATCATTTCCCAAAGCCTATCAACTATTTGACATGTTGTCCTAATGTTTGAAATAGAGAAATTAAATATAACTTTTCACAACTAGAATTGCATCACATTCGAAGCTGTTGACAAGAACATAACATTGTAATCAGAAGCATTGCTGGAGATGAAACTTTTAGCTATGTAACATTGAAAAGTAGGCATTAAATAAACTAAAGCAGCCTGGAGTACTGAAAATCTGATTCATGTATACTTACTACTCAAAGAAAATGCTTTTTCAGTTAATTAAGTTAATATTTTTTCAGAACTCACTAATACCACAAAATTACCTTAATTACAGAATCTCCATAGTTATAAACTGATCCTTTTAGCTCAATTTGTTCTCCTCGCACCACAGAATAAGGAATATAAACACTCAAGAAGATATCCTTTAAAACCCGCACTTCCAGGGGCTCAGCAACACATATACCTGAGACAATGAAAAACAAAAATCATCCTATCCAGTCCATACTTRCAATAAATAAGTTGGAAAAAGCCTTTTCATAGCCCTTTATTGATGCAACCTATTGATGCAACTGGCTTATTGTTTTTTAAAGGTACTTTGAGACTCCTTGGCTTTTCCAAAAGTGACCAAGCTGTTGCATTTTGCTCCAAGTTGCTACCTGCTACTTTGCTAATGTAGCTTTGACTTCTGCTTCCTCCTAAACCTAGGAGCAACTCTTCTGTTTGGCCTACTATATGTATTAGACACTGTTCCATTGTTCCTCCAGCCCCTAAGCTATTGATAGCAGGACACTGCAAAGCAGTCCCAGGGAACAGTCATTAAGTATYTGTACTATTCTTATCCTCCTCCTAGTCAGATATTATGGGTCACTGTGAAAACACACAGGCCAGAGACATCTTTGTTTTGATCAATACAGTAAATTCTTACATTCACAACGACAAATATATTCTGATTTTTTTCCTGATAAACAACCAGGAAAAATCAATTTATATCTTAGAACAACCTGGCAATGGAGAAAGGAAGTTCTGCAAAATCCAAACAGAAAATTTCCTTAATTCTTTGTCTACAATCTAATTTGTCTACAGTACCTACCTTTATTGGATATGCCAACACCTTGTATTTCCCAGGTAGTCAGTGAATCAGGTAGAGTAATAGAGAGAGTCTTTGACCTGTATTTAAAAGTGTTTTCTATTACAGTTAGCACATTTATACATTATCAAAGTTATTTGTTAATGCCAACAACAGGAAGACAGTCTGTGCCCAGAGCAACTCCTGCACRTAATACAGACCCAGATGAGAAAAGCGCTAATGCAGAACAGGACCTTTGGATTTCTGATTGCAAAGGTTTAGTTTTGGCTGACCTTACAGAAATTGGTGTTTAGCAAGGGCAAAAGTGAAAAGAAAAGTGACTTAGACATCAGGCATCCTTTCCCGCACACGGGAGAACGTGGCATAGATARTGTGCTGTATAGGAGTGCATTTTAGCACGTTTCACAAGCTGTACTGTTAAGGCTACCCAGGTTCTCAGTTTCAGCATTTACTTTCTAAAAAACTGATGACTTAGCCAAATGTTAGTAACTGATTGAGAAAGCAGTAAAACAGTACCTTGAATAAACTTGATGAACTTCCCATAACCAGCTTTCAGGGAAATAACTTCGGACATTTACTTCATCCAATTCCAATGCAGACTCAAAATCTGAACACAAAGTTGAGGTAAATACTCATCCATTAGCCAGACACATAACTTGTGGAATTGCAATTGTAGAGGATAGGGAAATGAGAAAATCTGTGGTCCCACTGATTTTTTGKCCAGAGAGAAAAAATATTTGGTTACTTTGGGCCTGGGAACAGGATCCAAAAAAAATTAGTCTCTGTACAATATAGCATTGCCTATGAAGTTTAGCATTGCCTTCAGAGACAGTGATGTTCCCTTATTGCACATATGCTTTTTTAAAATGTAGATGAAACAGTTCTCCAGTGCAGCCCTACCTGAATGAAGAATCAGACAAGATCTTTTTTACATTCTGGCAAAATTTCTTCTGTAATAACCCTGACATAATAAAGGGAGGTTAAGTAACAAAGCAATCAGCTCTGTGTCTTTCAATATTGTACGTGAGGTATTTCATCACAAGTCCACCCAAGAGTTAAACTCCAGTACTTACGCATTCTTGCCAGTATCAGGAGCTTATTAGGCTCTGCCTGCCGCAGTCTGTTGGCAAATTCGCAGCACTCTCTGAATGCTGAAATGCACTTTTCACCACTCCGAATTCGTCGAGCTCTATCACTGCAAGTCTCACTGACTGGATATGCTTTTACTCCAGCCATACAACACTTCTGAATTTCCCTACTATAATTGGATACTGAAATAATAAAATAATTTAAGAGACGTGATCTTTTTTCATAATTATATATTGAAATAGAATTTGAAATAGAATTTTTAAGCACCTTTCTGGAGTATCTGTTCCTTGAAATCAGATCTTTTGGTTCTTAAAGTTTCACTGCAAGTTTCATCTGTTGGAGAGAAAAAAAAAARAGAKAAAAAACCCAACCACACACAAYTGTTTTTGTAATAGCATATATAATTACTTTAAAGCTAAAATTACATTTTCTATTATTAAAAGTTATACTCATCTCAGTTACTATAACACTAAGTTTTTCTTCCTCAAAATCATATTTCTTGGTACATGTGTTCTCCAATGGCTTTATTAAGCCCCAACACTGTGTGTCACCACAGAACACTTCAGAAAATAAAAGCCACAATTTTATGTCTAAAAAATACATAACATACCTGCTTCATTTGAATCATCAGCATTTGCATTAGTTAAAAATGTAAGCCCAGCCATTCGAAATACGGCAACGTTGTTCTGTCCTCCTCCAGCACCACAGCCAAGGTCACTCTTTTCCAAACGTAGCATCATCTGAGAAAAAAAGTATATCATCAGCTAATTAAAATGTGAATCTCATTATATGGCCATCACAGCTTTTCAAAAAGGCCATTTCTGTCTGAAGGATATCTTCACAACACACCAAAAGGTGCCATTTACTAATTACCTTAGCTAATTCAAGCACCAGAACCAACATAAACACTTTGCTGTGACACAAAGCTAAGGTAGCAAGTCATGTTGAATCAAGCAGAAATGTTTTACTAATATTGCTATAACACATCCAGTACATTAGTCTGTCGAAAACCACCGGGGGTATTTTCATCTGAATGGTGCTACAGAACAGATTCAAACGATACAAGGTTGTTSCAAAAGCCTTTCTCTTCCTGGCCTATATACGTTGTATCTGATTGTTCAGAATTGTTGAAGAACTGCAACAGTTTATCACAGGAATGGAAAGCTTTCAGTCACCATGACATTCGTAATTTGTATAAACRCACATATATTAAATTCCACAAAGACTGGAAAACACTATAACCCACTGAATAGAGCTTGCTATACACYTTTCCTCCATGCCTTAAAAACAGTCTGATTATAGGAAATATTAAGAAACACCACACTTCTTTAAACAAGGAGCTCTCTAATACGGTAAACTATTACTGGCCAAGTATGAATGGTTCTGGTGAGTCATCTCAGAACTGTCTTTAAAACCACAACTTAATTTTACTGGAAATCAAAACATCAAAAAACAATTATTTTTATTGTTTTTAGTTGTCAGTTTTTAACTTTTATTCTGAACTGAATTGCTCTTTTTCCTATTTTCATGCTTGTTGAATGCATGAACCACAATAACAATTAGAATATGAACATGACACATATAGGAATTTATTTTTCTTTTGTGGCTACTACTTAACTTTTTCCACAGCTCTCTTTCCTCTTCCTGTGACTCCATACACTGCTTTGTCAATAGATGACAAAGCAACAAAGGAATTGAACTCTGTTTTCATGTTAAGTGATGTGATTTCCCCTGGCTTCAGTGTCTGTTTGCTTGACCACAGCTTAATCTGTAAACTCAGAACAAATATTGGTCATTTTAAAAGCATACTGTTATAAAATAAAAAAATAGGCATCCAAAGGCAAACATCTTCAATGTGTGAGGAAGTGTTAAAGAACTTGAGTAATTCCATGTGCAAATCTCATCATGAGTGCACACCTACAAGTTTTAGTGTTCGATTTACTACTCACCTCAAGACTATTCCCACACTTCTGTTCCACATTCAGCCAAACTGAATCAGCTACTAACTCAGCAGTTTCTTCTCCCATGACAATATAGTAAACAATAAGACGGGCTGAAGGAACCATTTCTTGGGTTATCTGAAAATGTAGATGCTCATAATCCAAATCCTTATTTCTTTCTTGAGTTCCAAAACTAATGATCTTCCCTTTTGACATTAACTACAATAGAAGGATGAAGAATAAAAAAAGTCAAATTTTATATTGAATATATTTCTAACATGCAATAATTATTTCACATTTAAATATAATTCAATATACACAAAAGTGCATCTGGAATGAGTTTGTCTAGTTCAAGGGAAGGGGACCCTTCCTCATCCCTTAAAAAAGCAGCACTGGTAATAATTAATACAGGGCTGACAAATATTTTCACTGAGACTGATTTCTCTCTAACTCTTCTTTTCCCCCCACCCTCACTTTTTAATTAATTGCTCATATCAACATTTTATATGACAAAAGCAGTAGAAAATCTGTAGAGTTTTCTGAACTGCACACGCTTAATTCTAAGGATAACTCTTGACAGCAGAGCTTCTTCATTCTAGACCATTTATTTAATCACAGTACAATATTTCATATAGAAACATTCGTTACTTACCAAATAGCTGTAGTGATGTATTTTATGAATATAGTGACTGCGTGGGTATACATTAATATTTATGAAATCGCCTACTTGCACGATTTTGTGATTTGAAGCCCAGTCAATATAAAGGTAACTCTGACTTAATGATGAATAAGCTTTTGCTTCATATGTTTTAGTTGCTTGGTTTTCATCTGAAAGACTTGGATCTGCAGTTCTAACCTAAGTGGTATGAATATCAGAAAAAGCTTTATAGTAAAGGAGGAAACAAAAATTGGATGTCTTGAATTCCAGGTAGCTTAAGTACAAAATTATATTTCAAAAAACAAATTAGCAAAATATTAAAAATGTTCTGTAAGGCGTTGTTCAGAAGAATTAATAAATTAAAGGCCAAGCAAAGGCTTTCATGTTTTCTTTAATAAAAAGGTCATCAAATCCAATTAAAATGTTAGTATAGAAATTGAACATATAAGTAGAGCAGAGAAGGTCAATAATATGTCTCTGCAGAGTGAGATAAGCATTTTCAGAGACTTCATTGTTACATGATTCATTTAGATCCTGTATTTTAAAATATTAAGAAATTATGTGACAAATTAGGATACACACTTTTTTCTTATTCTCAGAAAAAAAGTTTTAGAACAATATACAAATGATGCTTTGCTGTAGTATTTAYATTTCATAACTTTGATCACAATCTCAAGTTTAGAAATCGCTTACTTTTGAGTGCAAAAACTTCCCATCAATGTCGCTCATTGGCAAAAGTACACAACTAATTCATCAAAGGAATTAGAGAATTTAAACTCACTTTAAATTCTAGTATTTTGTTATTAGATGGGATATTAACAACAAATAGAGCAGTTCCATCATTCACACTTGTTTTTCTTCTACCAGCCTCTGAGCCCTCAGGTATCAGCTCAGTCTCATCCATTTGCTCGCTCAGTGATTTTGCGGTGACAATTACGGGGAGGTTTCCAACGAAGTTATCTACAGTGTCTTTCACCTGCACCTGTTCAGTGGAATATAGAAATTCTTATGAGAATGACAGCATTTTTCAAGCAAAAATATAGCAAAAGATACCACTATTAGTAGTATTTTCTGTAGTTTCTAAACTTCAACAATAGTAAATGAAAAATATGTCAATGAAGTTAAAAGCATTTTAAGGGTGCTTATGACAACACATGCAAAGAAAACTTCTGCATTATAGGCTACATGTTATAACATGCAAAAATATTACTTATGTTAATTAACCTTAATGAAGAATGGAAGTCCAGGCTTCACGAAGAGAGGAGTGGCAATCAAGTTCAGTTTGTAAGGAGAGACAGCATATATGACTCCATCAAACTCTGCTTCACCACTGAGGCCACCTAAGGAAATATTATGTCCCCTTTAAGAATTATATCCTAGGGCCTGTATTTTCTCCATTTGCCTTCAAAGGGTAAGTTGAAAAAAATAATGATAAATTACATATTTTATTACTATTTGTTTTATACATAATAATCATTATATACAACATAATATTAATACAATTGTAAGAATAATCTCTGTGCTACAATGAAGTCTTTGCACATAAGGATTCAACCCTTAGTAGTATGCAAACGTAAAAAGACATTTCTCTTAAAAAATTTAATATTGAATAGGTTCTTCTTCCCTGTAAGCTTTTGGAAGAAGGACTTCTGAATACTAAAGGAAGTTTGATACCAAGAACATTATCTACATAGTTTTGTTTTCCTATTTAGTTGATGTGCACATGTTCAAAAAACTAGCTAAAAAGCAACTTACCTGAAGATTCTAGCACTGATGCTGCAATATACAGGCGCAACCCATCCAATTCTTCTAGGCTTTGATATCCTATAAAACCAACTGCTTTTTTGCTGTTAAAATCGATTTCAGCAACTCCATTTATGATCTGGAAATGAAATAAAAATAATTTATAATCAGTAATTGAGAAATATCCTATAAGATATAACGTAAATAAATCCTACTTTAAATGTGCTTCTGTTTGATATCTACTTTCAGAGGAACCCAAAAGCAGGAATGTTGTAATAAACAATTTGTTGTTCCTTAGAACTACTGATAATTAGCCAACCAAAGCCACATGTTGCATGTGCTGTATGCAGGCCCAACAAGAGGCAGGAACAACACATATTTCCTTGCTGATACAGGAAAGGTAATGCCTTTTATCATTCTTGAATGACGAAAACAAAGAGGCCAGACTAAATGAGAGAAAAAGAATTGGCAGAGAACAAACTCCCCATAACATATCAATCGAATTGCAAACTGCCTACTATCATGGTACAGTACCATAACATTTATCCTCTGTTTGATTTCTTTTGCTTATGTTACAAGCTTATGTAACATAGTAAAATCAGTTGCTGTCAATGCAACCTAGAAATCAGAACTCATTTTCATCAAATTTCACAGGAAAACTTTAGAGGGATTAGATCAGTTCTGAACGGAGTACCCAAAGCCTAAAGAAATGGAACTTTTTTTTTTTTTTTTTTACCTTAGTTACATGCAAAGCATGAGGCATCATTTTTTTCCCAGTTTCTTCAATTATTCCAAAACGAAGGAAAACATCTGCACTTGGAACCTTTTTATTATAAAAATAGCTAGGAACAAAAGAACAATAGAAATGCTTGTAACATGACCATTCTAATGGCTACAGCAAAGCATTCATATTCAGAGCAGAAGCATTTCCTAGGCAAGGAATAGAAAGCAAAGCRTCAAATACTACTTTTTCTCCCCTTTTTAAAATAAAATAAAATAAAACACTCACTTTAAAAAAAAAAAAAAAAGATTTGAGGACTAGGCTTCTTGTCAAAAGAGAAGAGAGAGAAGAGGAAGATTTCTGGATAAAAGAGATAAAAGAGATAACATCTAGAAAACATATCCAAAATTCCTTACCTAGCTCTCACAGTAATCCTGAAGTTCTCAAATTTGTCAGAGCTAATAAAGCTGTGTTCTGGCTGTATGATAATAGAAAAGCTTGGCATTGCTAAAAATTGAGCAGAAAATAAMGCAATTTAGTTATATTTTTAGTTATTAAGTTGCAGCCACTCAGGAGGAGACTACTACATGGGCTTCAAAGAATAATCAGTCATTTTCAAGTGACTGGAATTACATTATAGCCCAAAATAAAACCATCTGTTTGTCCACAGTGAAGTACAAATCATAAAAGCCCCAAGTTATCTGCAGCCAACCCCATTCCAGATATTCTGACATTATGGCCGTGTCAAGCTGGCCCAGCAGACAGAAGAATGGCTATCTAGAGAGAAGCTGTATTAATACAGTCTAATACTCATGTGACAATTTAGCTTGAAGTGACATTGCTACATGGCACTACACTACATACAAAAGCATTGCGTGGTTTAATCAAAAGGCCAAGTGCTAACTCAGCCACTTCTGGGTATATTATTACATTTCCACAGCATAACAGTCCTGTATTGTGTGCACACATTACCATATTCCTTTACTTCAAATTTTGCAACAGCTGAGGTTATGAAATTCTTCTTGTACTTGGCTTCAATCTTCCAAATTCCATACCTACAAAATGTCAACAACCAAACACAATATTACTTCTGAATATAAAAATTAAGCTGCTTGCTTTCTTTATTACTATATAGAGGGAACATGTATGTTCACATCTATTTTTAAGAAGATTCTGCTTGTTGTTTTTTATTATTTTAAATTAAATGGACTAAGGATTATTTTAAAGGGTTGATAAAAATTTGAAAATATATCATTATTTACATTGTGTCCATCATCAGTGTCATCAGTATCTTTTGTTTAATGATTGCAAGCATAAACCTATGCTGAAGGCTCCAAATGTAAACAAGATCACAATTTAAGTTCTAGTTCTCACTTGCAGTATCTTGTGCTTTCACAGCAAGCGAATTCCCAGCACGCGACCATCTCAAATAATGTAAAACAAATCAACAAAGCTCTACTAACAAAACTTTGTACTATGGCCTAAAACAACCGTTTACAGTAACTGAATCAACCAAAAAGGTCATGCTGAGTGAAGACTATGTAAATCTACAAGCAATTTGCATTGCAAAAAAAGCATTTTTAAGTGCGTGCTCTCGTCCTTCTGACCTGCCAGTGACTCTTCAGCACCCTCTCAAGGCAAAAAGGAGAGCCGAGGACGCATTTATCTTGTATGCTGCTGTTGGTGATTTGTATGAATACAGAAATTTTCATTCCTCATAACTGGTATACCTTACATAATGCTTCAATCTTTACTGAAGCTTTTTTATTATTATTATTATTATTATTTTCTTCTTCAGTTGAATATGATAAACTCATCACTTACTGTTCTCTAATTTCAGTTATATCACTTCCTACATCTTCTCACTTTCTCTCATTATTTTAGAAAATTTCACAGATTTGAATTACAGAGAGTGAGCTTTCTGTTTGGCTCTAGGAAAAAAATGATGATTTAGAAGTGAAAGAAGAACACCTGATCCTAAGTTCYTTATTTGTACTGGGTTGCATGTAATGCCAAATGTTAGAACTCTTGAGTTTCAAGTTATACATATACTGTGTATCAGCAAAAGACTCTGATGGTCCTTAAGAAAAGGTAGTATTCTTAATTATTCACAAAAAAATACTAAATAAATCTACTTAGGATTAGAAGGAATCTTGAAGTCAGGAAAAGAAACTATTCCAGTAAAGTCATCTTCTTCTGTAATATCCACTTTTACTCCATCAGGATCCTTTAAATCATAACAGAAAAGAAGCAGAAGTTATTGATCATTCTTATTAAAAGTAAAATCTTCATTTAACAATTTTAGTCACAGACTGGACAATTGTCAATATTAAATTCAATTAAAACATACCACAAAAGTTAGGACAGTTTCTCGCCGAGCTGGCTGCAGTTCTTCGTTCAAAGAATAAACTCTGACTTTCACTGTAAGAATTGTTACAATAAATTATAAAGTCATGCTTTTATAGAGACCAAAAAGCAAACCTTTTTATCCATACAAATTTATTAAATCTTCAGGATCTACAAAATGCTCTTGACCTTTCGTCAGCATGGTGCTCAAAAAATAGACATTTCTTYCTGGGGAAGGAAAGAAAACCCTGCACCAACACTTTTTCAGATTGAATGATTCCAGTGCAAACTGAATCTTTACCATCACAATTCCAGCAAATCACCTTGATGAGAAGGGAGCGTATCAACCAATAACTCTGTTATTATTTTCTTCAATATTTTTTTTTTGCATATTCCCATCAAAATCTTTCAATCTTTATGCCTCATGTTAATAATTTATGCTGTAGATAGCAGGGGCTGAGTTGGGAGGATATTGGGAGATGTAATTAATTTATATAAAATGATAAAAACACCAGAAGTATTATTCTAATTAAAAAGCTAAGTAGTAACTAATRACAATATAACATGACTAAAGCCTAAAGTACATTTAAATTCTAATTCCTCAGCAATCTTAGCAGGTTTTAAAAATTAACTGATAGCCAATAAAAATAAGTATGATTTTACCTGACTGATCAGGAGTATAAATAGGTTTGTCTGTCTGAATAAAGAGAAATCCATTCTCATAGGAAACTGCAATTTTTTTTAACCTTGTAAAATGTGGAGAAACCGCTTCCAAATATATATATTGGACTGTATTTGCTATTCTTGGTAAATCTGCTGGTTGAAGCTGGGGAAGATGAAACATGCAGAATTTTAAGAAATATTAAAATGTTTTTCAAGTAGTATTTCTTCTATTTTTCTCTAATCTCTATCTGTATAGGAATTACTTTCCTGATGCTAATTCATATCAAATTACAACATCATCCACAACTTCATTACACTAATTTTATCCAGTCAGTTCAATTTCAGACAAACTATAGCAAAATCAAGTGCATGTGGCAAACTGAGGAATCAGGGCCCTACGTTTCTCTCGCCAGCTTAAGTAACTGGGGACTCATTGCTGTGGCCTTTTTTGATACYTATGACCAAATGACAACAATAATTACACAAGGAAGAGAGTCTGAAATCATTACCGTTAATGTTACAGCATCCTGGAATTTTTTGGCTGGYGTTAAAGACGCATAGCCAGAAGAATAAGTGACAAGCTTATCTGGAAAACTTTTTAAAGCAATGTTGACCGAAAATTCCTTCTCATAACCAAAAGCTTGAACTACAACTTTTTCAGATGCTCCAATTCGGAAGATCTTTGGTGCTGTAAGGACATATCTGTATGCAAAACGTAAAACAGTGAATGGGTAATGGAACAATACTTTTTCTTTTGTATTTATTACTTTCATTTATAATTGACTTACATACACACAGCTAAAACAAACAAGACAGAAATCTGGTCTGGTTACACTAGTCCACCAGTTAGGGACCATGTAGTCTAATTTGAAATGTTTTTATGAAAACTCTAACATAAAATTACAAAATAACAGCTTAGGTAAGCTAACGTTTACAGATATGATCCTRCAGACATATGGGGCACACGTAATATGACAAACTACTCACATGGAAATAATTATTCCTTTTGTCAGCTTAAACGCTGCAAAACTAATCCTCCAAATAGGTRCATACTTGTGTAATATTCCCACCACCAAACCCCTCACTGAAACCAATGAAGTTACTCACAATAAAGGCAATTTGGAGGTTTGAACCCAAAAAAGTGCTACTAAGTAGAATTTAAAAAACTGTATTTAAATAAGAGCATTCATCAGACCCACAGCAAAAAATACGTCCACAGTCAAAACAGTGAATATCAGCTTTATTTCCTAACTTTTCTGCAAGTTTGTCCTGTCTACACATGCAGAACCCATGGCACACAAGGAGATGAATCTTTCTTTGGCTGCAAATATATTACAGAGGCACCAGTCTCTTTTTAGGCAGAAATCCCACGTACACCAYTTGGAATTTTGTTCATGAAAACAGACCAGATTTGCATAGTGGTCTTTGCCTTTACTTAAAATCTGCATCTATTTACTTAAAAGAGTAGCTGACAGTCAAGTAACATTTCCAGTAAATACTATATTTATTCTACTTACGTTTTATCTTGACATAAACTTGTTCCAGAAAACAGCAAAACAAAGAGAAAAATTAATATAGCCATAGCGTCACAAATAACAAGCCATAAATGCCAGCAAATATGGATTAAATTGTATTCGGTTTTTACAGATGAACAGAATATCAGCAACACATTTCACTAACAGTTAATAATTAATCACAGATCTTGTTTTACTACAACGTGACTCCACTCTCCAATCATCAAGACTTCATCCTCCCATTAACTTTCAAATAAGCCAAAAAAGGTGAATTTAGGAATTAAATTTAGCACTTAGGATTTTTTTTTTTAATATGTATAACACAATCCTGACTATATCTTTCTAAATCTTCTGTTTTACAGTTACATAGAAAATCCCTTTCAGAGGTAGCTAAATAAACAAACAAAAACACATTGAAATTTTCTTTCAGAAAATATTTTCTCAAAGCTTTTGTTTTATATTTATTTCTGAAGGGGGAAAAAAAAGAATTATAATCAAACACAGTATATTTCTTAGATTGGAAGTTTCCTTTCTTCATTTTGAAATAACTCCCACCTGCAAAAACCTTTTAATCATTTACATTCCTAATTAGGCCCTTCCCTGAGCACTTACAACTAGAAATAAAAGTGTAATACCAAAGGCAGAGATCTATAATACATACTATTTAATATAGCATTTGCCCAASAAAGATTGGCAAGGGAACCTCTGCAAGCCTGACATCTAAGCACGGTACCTCAGCAAATTCATAAATAGTTAAACTRAAGTTGTGCAAGACTCTTCAAGTTTAAACAAATACTGTAGACAACCTTTACGGGAAGAGACATTTACAAAACATTTCTGATCAATATAGAATTAAATTATAAAAAGAGTGACATAGGCTCCTCAGCAAACGTAGGTAATAAACCACATGGAAAGCACCAATATTTGGAACAAAAATCTCATAAAAGCTGCTGATTGCTATTGAAAATAAGGGTCCAAATATCTACTATCCAACATCAAACTACGAGAATTCATAAAATAAGTTTAAATGGGTGATTAAAGAAACAATGAAGATTAGTAGAACATATTTTAAAGGTTTAACAATTTTGATTGTTAACTCATTATAGTCACAAGTTATAAGCCCTGACCTAAATCATTTCCGTTTTGGCCTACTAGATTTTCTATCCTCCATCTCACACCGAGCTGCATAGAACTGAAACTAGCACACAAAAAAAATCCTTTTATAAGAGTTCAACTTAAATATGAAAGTAGCAATTTATTTATGCCCACATTCAATTTGTCATGATCAAACATGCTATGCATTGCCGATGTTTCATATTTTCATTTTCATATTTCAATTTCATGCAAAAGGCTTTCATATGGTGATTTAGCCTTTTATTAACCAGACTTCTGCACAAAAATTCAGAGAATCCACCGTTGGCAGCTGAAAAGCTTTTCCATCTGTGCCAAACCTCAGTATGTGCAAAGGGTGAAGAAAATAAAAAATAAAAAAAAAATAAAAAAAAAAAAATAAAAAAAAAACACAACCCAAACCCCAAATCTCGGCCTCATTTTCACCTCCCCTCGGGAGTGGCCCGCGCAGAGCCCGTGAGGCGGTAACGGCTACGCGCAGAGGGCGCAGCTAAAGGCGGGAGAGTAGGGGGCGTGGCCACGAGAGGCCCCGCCCCATGGGTCCCTTGCCCTGCAGCCCCCGCCTTCCCCYAAGCGGCTTGCCAACAGCTAGACAAAATGGCGCCGCGTTCTTAAAGGAGCCGCAGCACGTGGGGCCTCGCGCGTGGGGAGGCGCCCGGCGCAGGGAGGGAAGGCGGGGGAGCCGGGGCACGGGGAGCCGGGGCGGTGACGGGAGGTCGCCGCGAGCCCGGTGCTCTCTGGCTGCGGCGGCGGCTCGGCGGAAGCGGCGGAACGGCGTTACCATGTCAACGCAGGTAATCAAAGCGGCGCTGAGCGGCTAGCGGCGTCTCCCGTCCGTGCCTGCGGCCGCGGCGCCGCCGCTCAGCGGAGCCCCCCGCGCGGGGCGGCGGGGGCGCCAGCCCCTCAGGTGCGGGAGGGGCGCGCGGGGCGGGGCGGCGGCCGTTAACGGGCGCGCGGGGCCAAATTACCTCAGTTTACCCCCTCCCCGCCTTCAGCATGAGATTTCGGGTGTGCTTTTGCCTGTAAATGCACCCTTTCTCCTCAGGAAATGGCATTAAAGTGCCCAGCTGCCCTCCTTAGCTCGCTAAGAAACGCCTGTGAGGGGTTTTGCTTTAGCTCATCACCTCCTTCCCCTCGCCTCCCCCTACAACCCTCATTTTCTGGCCTCTGAATGACACGAGTCATGTCTCTAAATATGGAGATAGACCAGGGCAGTGTTCTCATTTTCTCTCATTTTTTCTTTTTTAACRTGGTCATAATTCCACAGTAATGAAAAAAGGCTTTTAAGCTTTGTGCCATGTGAGCAGTTTGCCCTGTCTATCATGAAAAGGACAAATTAAAAGCAGATGCTTTTATCTTGAAGAATGGCTAAAAATATTCTTCTGCCTGGTCCAGAATTTAGTAAAAATCAGTCACCGGAAGATAGTAACTACAGGGGATTTCACATAGAGAATGAGGACACGAGTCTTTCTCTGCTTGCCCTCTGGGGAAATATATTATTCTTTCAGAGAGGTTTGTATTAAAATTCTGTGGAATTTCCTGGCCAGTTTTAGGTGTTTGTAAAAAGGGAGAGTTCATCTAAGCCATAAAGCACAGCACAAGTTACCAAGATGTAAAATAGTTACAAAAACTACAAAATATTTCAGCCAGTTCCTAATGTTTATCTATCCTACTATGATTTCATGCATGCTAAGTGAACATACTAGAGAACTGTTTTAAATGTGGGTTTTATTTTTTGRCAGTGGATCACTGCTAGAAATTTATTCTTTATGGAAAAAAATCATTTTTAAAATATMACGTTTATAGTGCTCAAAGTGGTGTATCATCTGAAATAAGAAACTGTGTCATTAAATATAACGGTACAGAGCCTTAAGAAACATGATTCTGTAGCACCTTTGTTGGCATGGAACCTGTTAAGAATTAGGGGTATATATAGACTTTGAAAATCTCAAATATTTATTTCTGTTCTTACAGTTACTCGTCGTACGATAGCATCTATCTTTTGCAATGAAGAGAGGCTTGGTACACACAGCGGTATGTGCGGAAAGGCAGATGCCAGCTTCTCGGACACCTAGTCCAATGTCTACTGTCAGTTCAAGTACCAGGTCACCATCACCTCTTAGCCAGCAGGCATCTCCATCTCCTCGCAAAGGCAGGGAGCAGAGACACCAACAACATCATGTTACAGCAAGAAATATAGAAGCTACTTTTGAGAATCAGTTTCATGAAGGTATCGTATAAATAGTTGCTGTTGCTAAAGTACATACAGAAAGCATACAAAGCCAATATTCTGCGAGCTCCRTAATTTAGAGATGGTTTTATCTCTTGGTACTCAAAATTCAGAAATGATAGTCATGATTCTACATACGATTCTGTGTAGAACAATGAAATCTTTACTTCTTATATTCTGCAGCAGGAGAGAAGATCAACTTGGGAAGACAAATGCTATACTTTTTCCAAAAGCCAAATACCTACTTATGTGTCAGTAATGAAAATGCTTTTGCAGCTTCTCTGGGCCTGTGCTGGGGAGCAATTTTCAATTTTTTCCCTGTACTCAGTSCAATGCAAAAAAGCAAAATAAAGCTCATTGATTCTATCACCACTGAAGGTATTTTCTCTGTTTAATTTCAGCTGAAAACGGAGCTAATCCAGGAGTTAGGTACATTACAGAATCCCTTATAAAAACTTTATCAAAACAGGAAAATTTGGCATATATAAGCTCACTGAATCTTTCTTTGGTGAAGGATGGGGACAAGAAATTTAAGGTAAGTAGTTATCTTAATCCAATTCTACAAGCAGTTTTATAGAACCAAAACTACCTTACTCATTAAAAAGCAGCACAGTTGTAATGATAAGTAATAGAGTTTTGTTTTGTTTTGTTTAGTACATAGAAAATTTGGAAAAATGCTCTAAATTAGAGTCACTGAATATCAGTAACAACCAAATAGAAAAGATTGAGAAGTTGGATAAACTGTTGAAGTTGCGTGAACTCAATTTGTCTTACAACAAAATCAGGTAAGAAAAAATTTGCTGAATTGTTTTCTCACTTTCCTTGTTTTGCAAGTTGGATATTATATCTGAGTAATGAAAAAATATGCTGAAGAAAAATGGTTCAAGCCATAACAAAATTCCGTGTTTCCTTTAATTTTTCTATTAGTCATGTAAGATCTTTTTATGCAAGACTGACTTCACAGTAGAAGCCACAACTTCAGTAAAGAAGTTTAACAATAGGAAGTGTGCAAGACACTAATTTTTTTTTTTTTTTTATATATGTTGCATTCACACAACTTCCTTTCTTAACAGGAAATGAAGAGGTCAGAGTAGTTTTTGCTTTTGCTAATGGTATATTTTGAGACTCCAGTTACATACAGTTTGTTTCTGTTTAAAAAATAATACAGCCAAAAGAGCCTAGTTTGTGGTGCCCCTTTAGAATAATCTTATCTTTTTTTTTTTTTTTTTTTTTTTTCCTATTTAACACTTAAATTACACCAGGGTTGCTTTATTTTAAATTGTGAGTCTGTTGTAATAAACTTTTTTTTTTTTTCCTATTTCATGGATGGTAAATAGTTGAAGAAGGATTTGCCCATAATACCTTAGATGCAATGTAACTTTGCTTTCCTTTATAATGAATTATGTTTCCCTTCTTGCTTTCAGTAAAATCGAAGGTATAGAACACATGCAGAATCTACAAAAGCTGAATCTTGCAGGGAATGAGATTGAGCACATTCCTTTGTGGGTAGGGAAGAAATTGAGATCCCTGCGCATTCTTAATTTGGAACAGAATAAAGTATCATCAGTAAGTGATTATAGATAAACACTTTTCTATCTTGTAATTTCCAACGTCAAACTTGAAGTTTGTTCTCTTTGCCTTGATATTTTTTTCCTAGAAGAAAGAGTTTGATTTCAGAAAGCCAGCCATAGTGCTATGTGTTTTGGTAGGTTTTTAGAAATACCAATTTAGCATAAATATTAAAATAGACATTTTGATATGAATCTAATTAATATACAACCAGAAATTCTA